TATCACTTGACTCAGAAATCGAGAATGAGGACCATGTTTTAGAAATTCAAACTCACTAACCCACCAACACACACACCCTATCCATCACGAGCAAAAAAAAAAAAAGACTAGAAAGACAATAAGCACTTTAATTCCCTCCAGCTGTGGCATTTTTAATCGAAGCCAAAAAATCTTAACAGCCCAAATTTCTGTTCTAAATAAGGGTCTCAAATTTGCCTACACTAATCCATTCAAATCATTTGAAGCCTTCCTTGATGTAAATAAATTTGTTCATAAAGCCACACTGAAGAGATTTTTCATAGATAAAAATAATGCAACCCAAATCTCACCCCCCACTCTCCAACCAACTACTCACACAAATGTATCCCTCCAATTTCAAGTCAGCCCCCCTTATGATGTTCGAAAAATCAGTTAAGAGATTTGACAAAATAAAAAAAACATAAATATAACACATAATCTGACTCATATTGAAAAAAAATAGCACTTAACTCCAAGACGACAAAGACATAGTTATTAAACCAGCAGACAAGGAAGGTGGGGAAGTCATCCAGTCAAGCACTATGTACTTAAAAGAAGCCCACAGACAGCTTAATGACAGAGAAATATATATGCTAAATTACCATCTGATCCCTCACCAAACATCCAACAAATTTTATTTCAATTTTTAAAGAAAGGATTACACTCAAACATTTTAAATAAACATGAATTCAATTTTTTTAAAATACAATACCCCCACAATTCCTTTAATATATTTCTTTCCAAAAATACATAAAAATGATAAAACACCACCAGTTAGACAAATTGTATCTAGAATTGGTTCCCTTTTATGTAATCTGTCACAATATATAGACACACTCCTCAAACCTTCTGTCAAAAGTATGAAATCTTATTTAACAGACTCAATGTCACTTCTAAATTTTTTAAGCAACTTTAAATGGCAACCTAACTATATTCTAGTCACCTGTGACATACAATCTCTCTACACAATAATCCCCTATCATGTAGGATTTTAGGCCATTAGAGAAACCTTAACAGAACAAAGAATCCCTAAAAATCGATTTTATATTGGAAGGCATAAACTCAATTTTAACTAACTACTTTTGTTTTTTTAACTCCTTTTGTCTTCAGAAGAGAGGTACAGCCATGGGGACCAAGTTTGCCCCTAGTTATGCCAACTTATTTTATGGCAGATTGGGAAACTACGGCCATATGGGGTGAGCATAGCTGGCGGGCAAACCTGGTCACTTATTTTAGATATATAGATGACCTCTTTTTTATTTGGGAGGATTCTGAAGATAATGATCTCTTTAATTGACAATCTAAATATTAATAACAGAGGTATCATCTTAACCCATGAATACAGTAACTATTAACTTTTTAGATATTAATATTTTTATTAAAGAAGGGACCCTACACACTAATTTATTTTTTTTAAAGTCTGTGTTAACATAGCAATAGAACAATCAAGCTGCCACTATAAACCTTGGCTCGAAAGCGCACCAAAAAGTCAATTTTTACTCATATGTAGGAATTGCTCTCAATTAGAAGATTAATCAACAAGCTGACTTTTTAAAGCACAAATTCATTGAAAAAACTATTCATCTTCTGACTTAAACAAAACAATTGATACCATTAAGAAAAGAGAAAGAAATTAACTTTTACCATACAAAACCAAATGCACTAAAGACCCCTTCCAGTCATTTTTAATTTCAATAATAAAACGGATATGTAAAAAAAAATTATTAAAAAAACCCTGACACCTATTAAGACAAGACGAGACCCTTATGAAAATTGTACCTGAAAAACCAAACATAATATTCAGAGGAGCTCCTAACTTCAAATCTATTTTAACCTCCAATTTCACTAGAGAAATTAAGACAAAAAAATGCACTAACTTCTTTTTTACCCGAAGCCATGGTTTTTACAAGTGTAAACGATGTAAAGTGTGTAAAAGTACTGACCCCTCTGTCCCTTCTAAAGTAACTCAATTTGCATCCAATAGAACAAAAAAAAAAAACATACAAAATAAATTACTTTAATGGATTTAATTAAAAATCTTTTAGGAATGACTACCAGAAGTCTTAAAATATGTCTAAGTGAACACTGTAGAAGTATCAAAAAAGGATACTTAAACCATTCAGTGTCTAAACATTTTATTAAACATAACAGTGACCCAAAATGTTTAAAATGTATAGGTATTAAAAAATGTATAATTCTATGGAGCGGAGGAAATATTAAAGATATTTTAGGTAAAAAAGAAATGTAATGGGTATATAATTTACAAACTCTAACCCCTTGTGGTCTAAATGCAGAATTTGATCTGTTTAATTTTATATAAATATCAGTAGTTTTATATTTTTTTTCTATCCATTTTAATATCCTAATACTCTCCTTTTATATTATTATTTATTCCTGTTATTTTCGGTCACTATATGACCTTCATAATATGGCTGCCGCAATTTGTCTCTTGCCCTTCACAATATGGCCGACGGCATCCACATTGGCTATGTAATCATTTACTACATATCCCATGTAGCATTGTGACCAATTAAAAACACCCACGTCATGTGACCAATTCCCAATGCTTTTTTTAATGTAGCCCTTGTTTTGTATAAAATGTATGATATTTAACATCTGTACTACACCAAGAATACAATTTAATACCTTTTATGTACTTTTAAAATGTTTTTTAAATATGTCAAATTCTGACTGGATAATGCTAATTTTGGCACCATTTTTATCCCTATATAAACTCCTAAAGCCAGGTTGATTGTTTTTACTCCATTTGATAAAGCCTGTACAGGTGAAGCACAGACTTTTTCATCTTTGGATTATGATTTTTTTTTTGTATATATCTTGATCAGGGCAATATCTCCCTGGTTGACACATTTTCACTGTGGATTCGTTCTCCCGTCGCTGCAGGGATGCCAGCAATTGAAGACTTCATCCACCAATCTTTCATCTCCTAGACCTCTGGCCTTCTATATTTTGATCTGTTTGCTTCTAGGGTGAATCATCAGTCAATTTTCTTCAGCTGGCTGCCAGATCCTCTCTGTCTAGCAGTGACCATGGAATGTGTAAGGCCTATAACCAGCGGCTTGGTAGATACTCTGCAACGTCTCGAAAGGTGTTGGATTGGTTGATTACGTTGTGGCAATAGTCTGACCAGACCTCCCCATCCATGCTTTTCCTCTTTTTGGGATGTTTCTATAGTTCTTCAAATTCTTGTGGCCAGACAATGACCTGCTGTCTTTGTGTCAGTTGTCAACACTATTGGCCTTACTCCTTTGTCTGGTTTTGCAGAGTGTTTGATAGAGCTTTGAATGCTTATTCTATTTCCTTTTGGCCTGATGGTGGGTCGCTCATTATTTCTCATAGGGCAAGTCTAATTCATCTTATGTTTCTTGTTTGTTTTTTTCCCAGATAGACTTCAACTTTGTGTGGAGGTTTATTAATTAAATGTTTATCTAAGTAAGTGGTCAAAGGACCAAAAAAAATTATATCAGTAGTTCCCAACCCAGTCCTCAAGTACCCCTAACAGTCCAGGATTTAGGGGTTACCCAGTTGTATCTAAAGTGATTTTTTTTGTTTGTTTCTAAAATCACTTTAGATACAACAGGGTAATCCCTAAATCCTGGACTGGGTTGGGAACCCCTGGATTAGTTGATAAAAAGATTAGATGATGGGGCGGGGCCTGACCACTGAGCGGAGTGGACGCAGGCAGCAAGAGCTCCTGCGATTAAAGGTGTTCTAAGCTGCGATTTTCCCCCAAAGACACTGAAAATGGTCATCCATGGGCTGGCAAACGACAAAGCAACCAACGACCTGCGCAACGATAGCACACATGTGGATGCCCCACTCGAACTCGCCCAGCGGTACTATGAGGCCTACACTCACGTGAGGCGCGGGGAGACGGCCGCTCTCCCGCCTATATACTCAACTGACCTCTTCATATACCCATGTTCCCCCCCTATGGACCGGTGGGGGTCATCCCTGTCCCAGGAGGGTACCCTCGGGCGCTGTGGCAGCAATCTGAGCCGAGCAGAACCGGCCCTAAAACGGCGGCCACCAGCCCGGAGACACTCATTGCGACGCACGAAAGAGATAGCCTGAACAGGCTGGATGCCTTATTCAAGGCCTTCTGGCACAAGCTGGAAGAAAGACAAGCCACAGCAAAAACCCAGAACGAACACTCACTGAAGACGCAGCCCTTTCGCATTCGGTCCACCGGCACGACAAGCTGAAAACTGCAAGACGGAAAATGGTGCCAAAGACAGCGCAACACGCCATCAACCCACAAACATCAGCACCCACAACTGAAAGCTACCCAAAGCAGGTTGAAGCCAGCCTCATCCCAGCCTAAAACTAAGCCAAGCAAAAGAATCATGCAGCGCAAGCACCAATACCCGCGCAGGACCCAGCCGACGAGGACGAACAGACCTGGACGCTATACAGCATGCCTCTTTGTCGGACACACACTGGGAAGCCTAGCATCAGGACTCTCAGGACTGGGACCTGTGGCGGCTGAGTTCCCGTGTGGTTCACAGGTCTGGACAGTAACCCCGGAAGGCATAGGCTGACAGGGGAGGCATTGGGACATTTTGGGACACAAAGCTTATGACCAGCCGTTTTGGTTCCCAGCTAAGATACCCTAAATGAGAGAATGCAGTTTCATGTCACACTCTGACTATATTGATCGATCTACAGCACCTATATAATTGCCAGTTCATTTATTATATGCTTCACTAGTGCCTCTTACTATGTCTAATAATGTATCACTATCATCTGACATCACTTACAATCTCCTGTGCTTAGATTGCGCAGACCCAAACAGATTAGCTTAATATTATTTGCTGTGTATTCTACAATCTTTTAAAACGTATGGACGCAACACAG